TCTTCAACACCTTAATGATCCAAATATCACAATAGTTGTTCAAAATTACGACCCCCGACTTCAATGCAAGCATTGCATCTGCGAATCGTATTTCTTTGAACGTTGTCCATAATTCGAGGCATGTTGCGAATTTCGAGCGCTGCAGCCTCAATTCTGGCCGTCAATTCCTCTAAAGTATCAACAGGATTCTCATAGACTAGACTTTTCATGTGACCCCATAAAAAGTAGTCGAGAGTACTGGACCACCTCTTCCAATCCACCGTCTTCTGAATATGTTGTGTTCAGGTACTCTCTAACGCCGACTGAGAAGTGTGGGGGTGCTCCGTCATGCTGGAACCACATCTGCCGACGAACATTTATTGGCACATCGTCTAGTAATTCCGGCAAAACTTCTTCCAGGAAATTCAAGTAAATAGGACCGGTGAGTCTTAGTGGCAATACATATGGTCCTATTAAACTGTCGCCGATAATCCCAGCCCAAACATTCACGCTAAATTTGTGTTGATGCCCAATTGAAAATATGGCGTGGGGGTTTTCTTCGTCCCACAAATGATTATTACGTGAATTGAAAATACCATCCCTGGTAAAACTGGATTCGTCCGAAAAAAGGATTGACCGTGGAAATTGGTGATTTTCTTCATATCGATCCAGCAACCAGCGACAGTATTCCACTCTTGGTGAATAATCAACTGGAAGCAACGGTTGTACTTTCTGTAGATGGAAAGGGTGAAGTTGTTGTTCCCGTAAAACTTTCCAAACATTTACGTGATTTGAATTCAAAGCTTGAGCAATTCCTCGGGTGCTTGCTCTTGGATTTTCTTCGACGAGATGAAGTATATTTTCTTCAAATCTTGGCACACGACGGTTTCTTTGCCGTCCACAGTTCCTTTTATTAGGTTTGAAACTTGCTGTTTCTCTTAAGCGCGTCTCAATTCGGGCAAAAATCCGGTAAGATGGCGTTCGACGATTTGGAAAACGCTGCGAATACAGACGTTGTGCAGCTCTTCCATTACTGCGTGATTCTCCGTAAATTTTTATCATGTCAGTATATTCGTTATTGGTAAAGTCATTCATTGTTTTACCACACTCAATTATACACACTTTACAACACTTAATAAACTCAACAATTTGTGAACTAGCACTCAACAACCTGACATTTGATTGAACGTTCATTTGACAGTTCTGAAGTAATTTATTTCCAGTGGAAACTTGATTTTTAGACGATTTTCAGAGAAACCAGGATTTTGTATGTTTTTATTCATGAATCGCCATTTTTCTCGAAAACTATTCACTTCAGAGCATTGAAGCAAGAAGACCTTTTTTGTGTGAAAGATATTAGCGCTTCAGAATGTGCTTTGAAAATTACAATTCCTCCAGTGGCATGAAAGTTTGGGGGGTTAAACCCTTACGAGGCGATGAACTCTCCGCCACTGACATGTCCAAGGAAATTGCTCGAGAGCCTTTATACAAGTAGTCATTATTGATGATGAAGTGTGTACACAGGCTCAGCTCTGTAGCTCAAACGGTTCCTGAGATAAGAGCAAAAAACTGAATTTTTTTATTTTTCTTGACGCCCTGTATCTTGAAAACGGAAGCCCGGAAAAAAATTTCGAAAAAAAAAAAAATTCTTTTTTTATGAGGAATCTACAGTTTCCCGTTGTGACACTTATTTGTTAACACCCTGTATAATGTCATCAGAGGCTAGTGGTGTTTATCACACCATGTTGAAGGAATCTTTTTACGTATCATCGCCAAATTCAATCGTCATTTCGACGTCATTATGACGTCAGTCGGACGTCACAGTTTGGTGAGTGAATGACATCAATACGACGTGACTAATATGACGTCATTGGGCTGTGACTTATTCACGTCATTGTCACGTCAATGCGACGTCAACTACTGACGTCACCTTGGTCATTCAAGTGACGTGAAAAAGACCTCACTGGAACGTCATCTGGTTTCCTGGGATATTTGTTCCTTTGTATGCCATCGATTGAATCAAATGAGCCATTGATTCGGCAGCTGCCATGTTTTCTGGGTAAGACGAAAAATTAGGGAAAACTCGAGGAAACTATGTGTGATTCTGCTAAGAAATAAAAAGTCAATTTCATTTTCTGATTTTATTGATGAACAAGAAATCTAAAAATATAGAACAGTTGGTCAGAGAAATGTGAGAACATATATAGTCCCTTCAATACTCAAGTAACGACATGTCTAAAATATGAAACTTAATATCAATGATCGTTTCAAAAATAACAAATATAACACTAACCTATCTGTGAAAGCTCAGTCTAACATTTACGATAAACTCTACATTTCAAGGCTTATTGTGATGTGCCAGAAGTAGGTACGAATTTTTCACGTAGAATCCTATTTTTCTAATGTTTTGAAGTGCCTCTAAAATCTGAGTTCTGACAACAAATATTCTTTCTGTCAACTATTCTAGCTGTTGCTATTTTCCTAGAATTCTGTATAGATTTTACAATTCACTTACAGGGTCGCTGATATGTATGGAAACAGGTGGATATCTCGGTAAGCTGTTGTTAGATTTTCTTGAATTTATGTACTATGTGATTCCAAAAGGTGACAAATTTGAAAATGTTATAGCCAATGTTGCCACTTTTTCAGTTATTCCGGATTTTTCATCAACTTTCTCAATTAGTATAAAACACACTGTACTTCATTAGATTTTCAAATTCTCCCTGAAGAGCTGATTCCATCGATCTATCAGACTTGGGGTCTAGCGAGAATGATTGTATAGGTAGAGGATGTTCAAAATCAAGATTTTTCCAATTTCATGATTTTTTTGATGAAAACCGCTCCAATGTTCTGTACTGACATTTGAGATTCAAACAAAAACAGGGTGGTTCAAAAGATTCAGAATTCTGATCACCCTCTCTGTTTCTGTTCCAATTAAATGTCAGTAGATAGTATATCAAAAGTAAATATAGGAACATCGGAGCCTGTTTGATCGATAATGGATAGTTTCGACACAAAAAATCCTGAAGTTGAAAAATCTAGATTTTAAACACCCTATACCTATGTTATCATTCCTGCTAGACCCCAAGTATGATATATCGATGGAATCAGCTATTTAGGGAGAATCTGAAAATCTAATGAAATATAGGGTGTTTCGATCAAAATAAGGAAGTTACTAAAAAATCCGGAATAACTGAAAAAGTGGCAATATTGGCTATAACATTTTCAAATCCGGCATGTTTCGACATCGCACTGTACATGAATCCGAAGGAATCTAACAAATAGGTTACCGAGATATTCACCTGTTTCCATACATATCAGCGACCCTGTATATTAATTAACTCATTTATGTTGCTTCGTAATCGCTAAATAATCAAAAACTGAACATTTGCTCACCTCTGAACCTACTGAGACAAAACTAGAATTCTCCAAAGATTTTTTCTTATGTAATATGAGTATCGACTCATCCTGTACATCAATAGACTGCCACTTGACTTAATATGGATTGTCTGAACTCGAATTTTAGAAGAACGACGATCTTTATTTGGAAACATGTTGGATTCTATTCAAATAATAACAAATTTAGTGTCAATACAGGGTAAGTCACGACGACACTATCTTTATATCATGAATCGGTCTGTGGAAGCAGTTGCAATATACATTTATGAAACTGTGGATGCAAATATTTGAGATTACGCTCTATTCGTTCAAAATATTTTCGACACTGCTGTGTTGCCCCTTCTACTAGAAAGTAGCAACAACTTTTTTATTTATAATGGTATACCCTGTATTTCATTGCATTTTCACATTCTCCCTGAAGAGCTGATTCCATCAATGCATCACACTTAGAGGTCCAGCGGAAATGATTACAGAGATATAGGGTGCTCAAAAATTGAGATTTTCCAACATTGATATTTTTTGTCCAAACTATTCTATTGACGAAAACGGCTCGTAGGTCCCTATCTCGATTTTCACTTTTCATTAATTTTCTACTAACATTCAATTGGAACAAATACATTGTGGTTCAAGATTCAGAATTCAGATCACCCTGTATCTGTTTCAATTAAATGCCAGTAGATAGTCAATCAAAACTTGAAATAGGGACATACGCCGTGTTGATCAACAAAAAATAGTTTCGAAACAAAAAAATATCAAAATTGATATATCTCGATTTTCAACACTCTATATATCTGTAATCTTTCCGGCTTGACCCCAAGTGTGATGCATTGATTAAATCAGCTCTTCGGGGAGAATATAAAAATGCAATAAGATACAGGGTATTCCATTTGGAATAACAAAGTGGTTGCTATTTGCTAGTAGAAGCGGCAACACTGCATTATCGAAAATATATCAAACAAAGAGAGTGTCATATACAGGGTTGGGCGAAAGAATGGAATCAGGTGAATATCTCGGCAACCGTTTGTTAGTTTTTTTTTTGAATATATGTACAGGGTGATTTCGAAACGTGGTCGATTCCAAAATGTTATCGTCGATGTTTCCACTTTTTTAGTTATTCCGGAATTATTATCAACTTCCTTATTTCAAATAGAACACCTTGTATTTTATTGCATTTTCAGAATCTCCCTGAAAAGCTGATTCCATCTATTCATCACGCTTGGGGTCTAGCAAGGATGATTACTGAGATATAGGGTGTTCAAAATCGAGCAGCTTTAGGATATTTTTGTGTCGAAACTATTCATCATCGGTCAATCGGTCGGTCAATAATAATTCCGGAATAACTGAAAAAGTGGAAACATCGACGATAACATTTTCAAATCCACCACGTTTTGAAATCACCCTGTACATATATTTAAAGAAATCTAACAAACGATTACCGAGATATTCACCTGGTTCCATACTTTTGCCCAACCCTGTATATGAGCATGAACATTTTCATAACTTTTTTGCGGTATGAAAATAGTGTAAGCTCGTCGTGACATACCCTATATATGGTACGCCCTGTATACCATCACAACCTCAACAGTTCCTCGTATAAAAAACACTCAAATAACATGAAATAATCAGATTTCTAGATCAGTAGTTTCGAGATTATCTTCAGACTCGAACATATTTGAAGTTTGACTAAGTCGTTGATTTTTCTCAAAACTTCCAGTGGAATGAGAAGTTGAGAATTGGTCGCTTTTTTTCTCCATAGATTTACCATCGAAATTATCCCAATCGAAATCCAAATCGATGCCGAAATCATCGTTGATTCCCGGCATGTATTTCAGCATTTGCAAATCGTTCTGAATGAAGTCGGCAGAGTTGGTTCGGCTTCCTTTTTCTTGAAAATTAGGAAAAAATTTGATCAGTATTTTATTCGTACAGGGTCTTCACGTATATTTTGAACCCCCACTTATCTTCTTTATGTATCGTTCAATTTTTGTTTCAAGGAACGTTTTTTTTTTAAATATTTTTTCTTGTATATTTTATATTATATGCTAACAGAAAAACAATTGAACATATCAAAAAATACTTATGAGCAACATTTATGATTTCTCCAATAGTACACCGTGTATTTTATTGCATTTTTGAATTCTCCTTGTAGAGCTGATTTTATCGATCTATGACAGTTGGGGTCCAGCTGAAATGATTACATAGATATAGGGTGTGAAAAATTGAGATTTTTTCAACTTTGATAATTTTTTGTGTCGAAACTATTCATCATTGGCCACAACTGGTTTTGACTCCCTATCTCAACTTTTGATTCACTATCTTCTGACATTTAATCAAAACAAATACAGGGTAATCAGAATTATAGATTTTTCACCACCTTGTATTCGTTTCAATTATATGTCACTTGATGATACATCAAAAGTGGAGATAGGGACATGAGAAAAGTTTTGGCCAATAATGAATAGTTTCGACAAAAAAAATCCTAAAGTTGAAAAAATCTCAATTTTTCACACTCAATATCTCTGTAATCAATTCAGCTAGACTGAGAGCAAGACGTAACGGCTAAACCCCAACTGTGATAGATTGATCAAATCAGCTTTCCAGGAAGAATCTCAAAATGCAATGAAATACAGGGTGTCCTATTGAAAATATTATGAATGTTGCCCATAAATATTTTTTAGAAAGTTCAAATGTTTTTCTATTGGCATATGTGGAGTTTCCTACAATGTTACTTACCCGTGACCGACAACACAGCCACTGCCGATTATCAATATTGACATCATGACACATGATGACAGACAGTACGACCGATGACAGGGACTGTTTTTGGCGGAATAGTTAGTAACCTAACATGTAACATGCTTCTTGTTGGAATCATTAAAGTAATAAATGATTATTACTAATTGTGTTTCAATACCAAACACTACATGGTGGCAGCTCACTGGCTAAATCCAGTGGTGTGAATACTAAAAAGTAAACAAACCAAGTCAACATGCCTGACGAACCAATAGTGCAGGGTGCAGGAGTCTCAGCTCCAGTATACCAAATACCAGCACCTGAGCAGTTTTCATTCAACGCCAATGATTGGGAACAGTGGGTATTACGTTTCAAACGATTTAAAAGCGCATCAGGGCTAGACAACAAGCCTGGAAATGATCAAGTAAACTCCCTGATTTATTTGATGGGGCCACAATCAGAAGCTGTGTTTCAATCATTCAAGCTAAATGACGTTCAATCGAGGGATTTTGATATCGTGCTGCAGAAGTTCCAAGCCCATTTTATACCTTCCAAAAATGTAATCTATGAAAGATACTGTTTTCACACTCGAATTCAAGAGGAAGGAGAAAGTGTAGAGGATTTTGTCACAGCATTACACTCTCGTGCACAAAACTGCGATTTTCCAGCAGGGTTCTTGAACGAGGCCATCAGAGACCAAGTTGTAGTTGGTATCAGGAACGAAAGTTTATCTGAAAAACTGCAGCTCGATCCTGCCTTGACCTTAGAGAGAGCTGTAACTACAGCCAGACAGTCTGAGTCTGTTAAGAAGCAACAAGAAACATTCCGCAGTGCATCTAGTTCAGTTGATAGAGTAGGTGTTAGAAAACACTGGGAGAATCAGCCTAGAACTGCAACAAGAGCAAAGAAGGACAGTATTCCTGAGAAACATCATCAAAATTTGAGTCCAAATTGTAGATGGTGCGGCCATTTTGATAAACACCAACAATCAGAATGCCCTGCTCGTAATGCAGTGTGTGGAAAATGCAAAACCAAGGGACATTATGCTAAAGTTTGTTTGAAGAGCAAAACAAAAGCTGTTAGAAGTGTTGAACCTGACTGTGATGATTCTGAGACTGAGACTTTTGTGGGGGAAATTTTTTCAGTGCAAAACTCTTCAAATTGGCAAGTACAGTTAGACATTTCGGGACAAAACTTATCAGTGAAAGTTGACACAGGAGCTGATGTTAGTGTGCTACCTGAGACTTTATTTCGTGACGTGTTTATTCACTGCTCATTAGTGCCAGCTGATACTATACTCACAGGTCCAGGAGGAAACAAACTTCCTGTTATTGGAGTGTTTACTTCTGAAGTAGGTACTATATCCAAGACTGAAGTAGAGGACTTTTATATAGTAACAGGTTCTAAACAAATATTGCTCAGTGTGCATGCATCTGAAAAGCTTGGGCTGGTTCAGAAACTCTTTGAGGTTAGAAGTGAAAACAAAAGCTTTGACCCCTATGGAAAATATCCTAGACTTTTTAGTGAACTGGGAAAAACCAAACAACCATTCACCATAAAACTGAAGAAAGAGAGCTCTCCATATGCTTTGAATGTACCAAGGCGTATCCCTCTACCACTTCGAAAAACTGTTAAGCTGGAATTACAACAAATGTGTGATAAGGGGGTAATTGAACCTGTGAACGAACCTACAAATTGGTGTGCTCCAGTGGTAATAGTGCCTAAGCAAAAAGGGCGTATAAGGTTGTGTGTGGACCTAACACAACTGAACAAAAATGTAGAAAGGGAAGTTTTTCCAATTCCTGATGTAGATTCTACATTAGCTCAGCTTGAAGGAGCAAAAGTATTCAGCAAACTGGATGCTAACAGTGGATTTTGGCAGATACCTCTGTCTGAAGAATCCATGGCCCTAACTACTTTCATATCACCTTTCGGAAGGTACAAATTCCGCAGACTTCCATTTGGCCTTACGTCTGCCCCAGAAGTGTTTCAGAAACAAATGAACATGACTCTGGAGGGACTGGAAGGGGTTGTCTGCCACATGGACAGTGTATGGAAAAACAATGAAAGAACATGATGGTCGGCTTGACAGTGTTCTACAAAGGCTACAAAAAGGTGGTTGGACCTTGAACAAGGAAAAATGTTTGTTCCGGGAAAAAGCTCTTGAAGTGTTGGGACACATCATATCCCCAGATGGGATAACTCCTGACCCAAGGAAAATCAAAGCCATTCTAGACCTACCCAAGCCCAACAATATCACTGAGTTGAAGAGATTTCTAGGAATGGTCAATTTTGTGAACAAGTTTGTCCCAAATCTTGCAACAAAGGCTAAACCGTTGTATGATCTGCTGAGATCTGATAATGAATGGTTGTGGAGTGAAGTGCAGGCAGCTGGTTTTGAAGAAATCAAGAAAGCGCTGAGTAGTCCTCCTGTTCTGATGCTATATGAGAGTACCCGAGAGACAATGCTATCTGTGGATTCATCATCATATGGTCTTGGAGCAGTCTTGCTACAATCAGATTCTAAAGGACAGTTCAAACCTGTGGCATATGCGTCACGCACATTGTCTAATTGTGAACGCAAGTATGCACAGATAGAGAAAGAAGCGCTTGCAATAGCTTGGGGTTGTGAAAAGTTTGCTCATTATATAGTCGGGAAGACTATAACTATCAAAACGGACCATAAACCATTGGTTTCCATTTTGGGTCAGAAAGACTTAGACACATTAACACCCCGCTTGCAGCGTATTAAAATGCGCCTGATGAGGTATTCTTATGCAATCAAATATACCCCAGGCAAAGACCTAGTTCTGGCAGACACTTTATCACGAAGTCCATTGCCCAGTGATGAAGGCCAAGAACTAACTGAAGAGATTTCAGCATATGTTCAGTCTGTTATACAACATTTTCCTTCATCAGGCAAGAGGTTGGTAGAAATCATCAAAGGACAACATGAAGATTACGTATGCTGTGAACTTTCAAAGTATTGCAGTGAAGGTTGGCCAAGTCGTCATAAACTTTCTCAAGAGACTATTATTTATTGGGAGTACAGATATCTTATCACCTTACAAGAAGGAATTCTTATGTATGGTAGCCGGATAATAGTACCTCAATGTCTCAGAGAGGACATCATCAATAGACTTCATGAGGGCCATCAAGGTATAAATAAATGTCGTGCCTTGGCCAGACAATCTGTCTGGTGGCCTGGATTGTCAACTCAATTAGAGCAATTGATAAAAAACTGTGTAATATGCATTCAGAATCAACCAGACCAAGTAGAACCTCTAATCCCATCAGAATTTCCAGAGCGTCCATGGCAAATTGTGGGAACTGATTTGCTGAAGTTAGATGGAAAATGGTTCGTAATAGTAGCAGACTACTATTCCAGGTACATTGAAGTGGCCAAATTGGAAAAACTGACATCTGAATGTGTCATTAATAAATTAAAATCCATTTTTGCCAGACACGGAATACCAGAGGTGGTGAGAAGTGATAACGGAACTCAATATTCAACAACAGTTGGTTCTGCTTATGATAAATTCGCAAAAAGTTATGGATTTTCCATCATCACATCAAGTCCCAGGCCAAGTAAAGAATTTCAAGAACCACTATAAGAAGGGGGGAGATCCCTATGAGACATTATTGGCACTTCGTTCAACTCCACTTCAGTCAGGCTTCAGCCCTGCTGAGTTATTGATGGGACGAAAACTCAGAGGAAATGTTCCTATTGCACCAAGTCAATTGCAGCCCATCATTCCTGATAAGAAATACCTAGTTAAGAAAGAAGACAAACAAAAAATCGTCCAAAAGGAAAACTTTGATAATCGTCACAGAGTCATCTCACTCCCAGAATTACCAGTAGGACAAAAAGTTTGGATTTCTGATCTTCGTCAACAAGGACTGGTAGAAAATAAAGATTCTTCTCCACGGTCATACATCATAAGAAGTCCAAAAGGTGTTTACAGAAGAAACAGAAAGTTCTTACATCCTCTTCCAAAGGACGTTGAAATAAAAGAAAATTCCATCATAGAGGTTGACCAAAATCAAACTGATGACATCATAGTAAGATCTCCTGAAACAAGTAATGATCTGGAACCTTCAGGCAGTAGTACCCTATCAGAGCCTATTCAGAGGGAATCCCCTAAGCATAGCCAAGAAGCGTAGAAGTAAGCGGCAAATTCGAGCTCCTAGTCGTTTGGATCTTTAAGGGGGGAGATGTGGAGTTTCCTACAATGTTACTTACCCGTGACCGACAACACAGCCACTGCCGATTATCAATATTGACATCATGACACATGATGACAGACAGTGACCGATGACAGGGACTGTTTTTGGCGGAATAGTTAGTAACCTAACATGTAACATGCGTCTTGTTGGAATCATTAAAGTAATAAATGATTATTACTAATTGTGTTTCAATACCAAACACTACAGCATATATATTAAATCTATGAAAGAAAATATAGAAGAACGTTCCTAGAGAAAGAAAATAAACAATACTTACATAAAAAGTTGAGAGAGGGTTCAAAATATACGTGAAGACCCTGTACCTTCCAATCTGAGATTAGCAAACATTCTTCATTTTTCATTTTCAAATATGCTTATTATACATCACTGATGAATAGATATTCTCTGCTCAATTCACAGTTGCATCTGTAAATAAGGCAGAGGAAACTTTTGTTTGATATCTTCTAATTTACAGTCGCAACTGTAAATAAGGCTGAAGAGAGTTTATTCTTTATGTATCCTCATTGACAGATCTGGATGTGAATAAGGAGGTTTTTTGAAAACCAAAGTTTCCTCTGCCTAATTTACAGTTGCAACAGTGAATTAGGAGATCTGTAGAAAAAAAAGTTCTCTGGTTCTAATCCACAGTTGCGTAAATTAGGCAGAAGAAACTTTTATTTTCAAGTATCAACTGTAAATTAGGAGGTGCTTCGAAAAAAAAATTCTCTGCCTAATTTACAGTTGCAATTGTGAATCAGAAGATATTCAAAAAAAGTTTCATACGCCTACTTTACAGTTGCAACTGTTAATCAGTGCTAATTTATAGTTGCAGAATTAATCTGCCGTTTGCGATAATATATTCTCAATCTTATTATTTATTCGCGAATGAACCTCGAGACTCATCAAAAATTAACAGTATACAGAAAATATTTCTGAAGGGAATATCTTTCTGAAAAAAAAAACTGAAGGTTTCCAGTCTAACCTCTGAAAAGTTATCATCAAATTTGTACGGCAACATGGTTGTTTGAAACACTTGCAGGTTACTGATGATGATCAAGAACATCTCACAACGTGATCCACAATCACAGAACATGTCATGCCAAAAATTAGGAAAATCGAGCTCAGCCTACTCTTTTCATGAGCAAAAAAACTTGAACGCCTCGTACCAACTCAACGAGACGATTTTGGATATAGGTAAGTTGACCCATGATGGAAATATATATGGTGTGCTACTCAGGTATCTTGAATTCGTCTTTTCTGCGCATAACGTCATTGCGAGTCTATACTCGCACCAAAATGATCACGACGGCGACTCGGACGAACTGATATAACTGTGAGCTCAGACTGCTAGCAATTGTTTTACTCGCAGTGACGTATTCGGAGATGCGTCGTAGCACACCATACTAATTCCACCATGAGTTGACCTAAATCAACTTGTTTTTATCCCAACCTTTTACAGACACCCTGTATATTTGGAAACTATGAGTGAACTTTTTGAAAAAACGGTTGGTACTACGAAAAAACTTGTTCTAAGCATTTCTGTGTGGAGTTGATGTAGCAATATTTTTTTGTGGAGAAATGTTTTTCCTAATATTCTTGGATATTGAGTTGAATTGGAAAAAGTGTTCGCGATGACGGTCATTTTGTTTTTCGCGCACAACACTCCAACACATTATTGTTGATAGTTCCAACATCGAAATTATGATTTTTTAGACTCAAACAACGAGATTGAGCTAATTACCAAACTTACATAATCAAAGATCCCCCACGGATGTACAGGGTGTGGAACAAAATGGTAACTTTTAAAGGGAAAGTCGTATACCCCAACTAGATAGAAAAAAACTGATGTCGGTGCCTGAGGATCGATTCTCACGCAAAACTCAATGGTGGAAACCGCATATCGATATCTTTCTTTGTTTCGGAGTTACAGAGGTGTTCTCCGAAAATGGGCATTTTTGAAGTGATAACAATCATTCCTGAAGAACTGAAATCGGCTCTACTACATTTCGTTTAAGAATATAACTTGTTCATCTTTTCGAAAGAGAAGTTCCATTCCGGAACTAGGTATATGGTGACTGATTCCAGTGCCTCAGGATCAATTTTCATGGCAAACACAATGCTCTGGGAATGTTATTATAAAAACGAAGAATTAAAAAAAAAATAGTTTCTGCCACTTTTCGAAAATTCATATTTTCGAAAAACACCTTGTTACTCTGAAACGAAGATAAATATCAATATTCAGTTCTCACCATTGAAGTTGTCATGTAAATTGATCAACAGACATCAACATCAGTGTTGTTCTATCTCGTACGGGAATAGTACTTTCCCTTCGAAAGTGTCCAGTTCGGCCCACCCTGTACATTTTATAGGGAACTATGTAGACATTTTGGACGAAATTAAGTAGATATTTAGCGAGCTTGAGTACAGATAATTTGGATCTTTCAAGTTCGTTAGATTAAGTATAAGAATAAGTTAGTCAAATCAACGTTAGGTTGATTTGTACGAGTATATCACTTAAAGAAGCTAATGTGATTGCAGAACATGAGATTTACATTTGGCAGAAAATATCTCATAGCCAACTCACCTGATTTTTCTTCATTTCCAACGAGGTTACCAGAACAAGCGACTGGATCTTGTACTGGTGGATCTACAGACTTATGACGACGCACAAATTCGAATTTCTTCAATTTGTCATTCCTTGGCCTCTTCTTTTCAGTCACAATACTTTCAATATCATCCAGCTTTGGTCTCTTCTTAGGTAACTCTGGATCAACAGATACCGAGTTGCCCTTCTGGTTGTGGTCTTTTCCACTGAACGAATTGTCCATTTCGAAACTGAGCGAATTCATTTCATCACAGCCGAAATCGATGTCCACATCGAAACTATTCACTTTACTCTGCTGCTTTCTGATATTTGATTTCACACCACTAGGTCCAGGTTCTGCAGAGATATCGTGACTAGTTTTAGTGTTGGTACTTCTCGATGCTACGTCATCTTCTAGTGGACTCTTGCTCCCATAATGGTCTTTGTTTGTATTTTTCAAACGATCTTGTGAAGGCTCTGAAATATCAACTGTGTTATCCTTCACAGCTCCATTTGTTTCAGCTCCAATGAACTCCGATTTTTTCCTAGTGAGCCCAGATTCTAATTTGTTCTTGTGGTTTTGATCAATATGATTGAGTCCAATGAATGAATCTTCTTCATCACAGCCATCATCGATGTCAGTATCGAAAATATTCGGTTTGCTTTGTTTCTGGATCTTCTCAGTATTTTTTGTCTTTTCGCCTTTGCCTTCCACATTTAGTTTTTTTGTAGTTTTTCTACCTTCCAAAAAATCTTGTGAAGGCCTTGAAATGCCCAGTGGTGCATTTTCATCAGTTTCCTTCAGCCTAGAATTAGAAGCGTCTGATTGGTTCTTTCTTATGTGGACTTCTAAGTTTCGAGAGTTTTCTTCATTGAGATCATCATTTAAATGTAAGTTCGACGAATCAGAGTGGTTGATTTCATTGTTTGATTTCGTTTTGAGAACACTAGGTCCAGGTTTGGAATTGCTGGAAATGACACTGATTGAAGCTGTGTCATAGCCTTCGTCTGGTATACTGGTTTTAGTTATATTCAATACTCCATTTGAATTATGTGGCATATTATCAGTGATTGACAAGTTGGCAAATTCGTTAGATTCGATTTGCTGATGTTCTTCAGGCACAACAATAGGGTCTATGTTTTCACTATTCGGATTTCCGTGGAAAAATCTAGACTGAACAGTACCTGCAACAAATTTGTAGTTCTGCACTGATTTTCAGGAAATTGGCATCATATAGGGAAAACTTGCAACAATAATTTTTGAATTTTTTGAAATCCGACTTGGGCCTTCAGTAGCGCTTCAACAAACATGATAATTGGACTACTCGATCGGTCACGTGACTTCGCTACATGTCGAAAGTTATATTTTCACAAACTAATTGCTGAATATGGGCTTATTTATTTGAGTTTCGAATATGTTTACGAGGAATAGTTGTTTTTATTTCGAGTTCAGACATGTGTCTCATAAAAAGTTCCGTTGATATTTTTACAATTTCTATGGAATTTTTGTGATGTTGAAAAAATCACAACTTCGACAAAACGGATTCATACCAGTAGCAATATAATTCAACTAACTTTCAATCAGTAAGTATCGATTATATTCAGAAAATAATGATTCCGCTTCAAATTTTACGTAAGCTTGATGCAAAATTAATTTATCGTCAAGCATCTAGGAGCGCAATTTATTTATATGGATTTTTCCAGTATCGAAATGATCATAGTCATAGTCATCAATTGAAGTATCATCGAACTATAACTATTACGAAACAGTTTTGTCGAAGTTACAGTCTTCTTATTAACGCAAAAATTCCGTAGAAAGTGATGAAATATCAAAAACTATAACTTGCCATGAGACGTTCATATTGAAAAATGGAAAAATATGTGTGAAATCGGAATTGAAACAACTTATCTTGGTGAACGTTTTTAATATTTAAACAAATAAGCCTGTTTTCAACTACTGATGTGAGAAAATGTAACTTTAGATATCTTTTTTAAAGCAAAACTTAACGCTCAAGTCGAATTTCAAAAAAAATCATCTTTAAAAGTTTTCACCATATGATGCCAACTTTCTGAAAGACTTTCAAGGTGTGACTGATATAAATCGTCGCTTTCGGTTGTGGAGTGGCCTAACGTGGCCTAACCCACAAGAGAAAAGATGGCATATTCTTGATGACAAAGAAGTGCCTCTTTTCATCGTATATTGGTGATAGTATTGTAGAAATGAGGAATATTTCAATGCCACATGGTATGAAACTTGATTTTACTTCTATACTGATAAAATAATAAATTATATTTTCCAAATTTGAAGAAGAACGTGGCTTTAGACTTTCCACACTCAATTCCGAATAATGAAACTACATATGTGTTCGAAAATAGATGTGAAAAGATCTAAATGCATGATGCAACAAGATTAGGTTGAAGAGAATGAAACAAAATTATCGAGAAAATAATAAGTAATTCGTTTTAAATATCGTGAATGGTGAAGAAAAATAATTGGTAATAATGCTGCTGCTAGAGAGATTATAAGTGGAAGATATTTAGTTTATTATTTTCATTATAAACCGTAATAATTAATCTTAGGAATCGCCACTCGAGTATCTCCGCCATGTGTAATCTTATTGTCAAAATGGCCTTCAACATCGTTTTGTAATCGACCATGTGCCTTAATAAGAGTGTTTGTTGAAAGCGGTAGTATTTATAATTTTCTCAATATTTTTACTCTGGTCAAATGAATATAAGACATTTATTGATATAATTGCGACTCTTCTCATTGAATAACCCAGGAAATAATAGTTAATTATTCTCACTAGCTTCTACACGCCTATTTGCCCGCGTTGGAATTAGAAGCAGAGATAATTAACTAAAACTTAGGTATACTTAAACAAAAAACTGACACCTAGCCTCAAAAATTGAAATAGTTTCAGTATTGTCACAGTTTGATCCTCTGAGAACCATTTATCATTTATGTCTTCCTATCCCTATATGAAAACACAAAGTCAGCTCCCCCAGTCAACCTGCGAAGTAACAGTAAGTCGCAGGGAATACCAAAATAAAATCCCACCGAAGATCATCTTGGAGACCGATCATAGATGTACTAAGGATTTCGCTTTGTGGATATGAACATCCACAAATTGTTAGCCTTGCGAGTTCCCCAACTCAACTTCTTTGAAAATTCAATTCAATATTATATCGAGAAGTTTATATGAAGTGTGAATTTGTTATTACTATGTCACTAATCTCTGGTAATATTTTTCGAATGTTGTATTTGTGACATTACTAGAAATTGGGATATCGTGTCTTGTATAAACTTCCATTAACTATATCCAAGCAACTTCTTGAAGAAGACCTCTCACCAACTTTCTGAGATATCCTATTTGATGACACGTCGCAACTACCTATCGATTAACATTTCGCCTGTATTAATTTTCACTGCAGGTATACCTAATATCATTAATTCATTGATACGTTATGTTATGGGTATACATATACACCTGAATATAATGATGAAATTAATCATAATAATGATCAGGTATCATTGATATCAATAAAGTGGAGATGCATGCATAATAATAATGATAAAACTAATAATAATAATGATAATAATAAATAATATAAATCGACTTCATTTGAGAAATGTACACGGATTTGTCCTGAAAAGGCGAAGATTAGCTAAATATCAGATGATAAGCAATGAACAATGTCCATATATATAGGCATGTGTAAAATCTGTGAGATTTTCTTTTCTCTTCACATTATATATTCTCGTTCAAAATATTAACACACAACGTGACGTTTGCTTGGTAATCTTGAATCAAATGTGAGCAAAAAAGGCCAGTACACGTCAATTTTCAAATCCGGCTTTCCTTTCATTTTTAATATCATATGCGGCGCCCAAGAAGTGGTTCTGAACCACTATGAATACTGGTAGGTCCCGCTCTACCTAACCCCGCACTAGTTTAGACTTCTGGGTAGTTGATTCCCAACACCGAAGTTGCGATATACTTACAAATCGATAATGTAAAAGAAAAAATAGGACTAATAATTTCGTGAGTAAAAATTCAAGGTCAATGCCATATACAGTCGTATTAAAAAAAAAACGTACTAGTATATTGGAGGGAGAACTTGAACACATATCCTATTTGCTATATTTACCAAATGTTGACAGTAGAGTTACCATAGAGCTTCAATCGAAGTTCGAATCCAATCGCATCAATGTTTTATCGACTTTTAAGTTGATGCCACAGTAAGAAGTTCCGTGTTTGCTCTGTATATGGTAACTAAAATAAATCCACAATGTGATGTCCTGACAACTCATTGGAGATGTATGTTGTTGCGGATATTAAGTAATCGCCAATAAGTACTGGAGCACCTTTTTTAAATTCACAATGCGAAGTCGCACTTCAACAATGATAATTCCCTACAACTTCCCTGCAACCAACACTCGTTAACTGGGCCACAACATAATGTTGTGGAGATGATCGACTTTGGCTTTCCAACTATGGACTATACACCATTCTACTTTAAGTGACCAAAGATTAGAAGTACAATCACTTTCATTATATTAAAAATGAGAAGAAGGGATTTTTACCGTAATTAATCTTAGGAATCGCCTTTAGTTCCCTCTCGAGTATCTCCGTCAACTGCAATCTAGTCAAAATGGCCTCCAACATCGTTTTGTAATCGACCATAGGCCTTTCGGGAAACACACTATTCATGGTGATGTTCAAATTCAGTATGGCGGAATCGCGATCCATCGCGATATCCGACAATATTATGGCGTAAATGCTGTCCACCACCTCGATTTTTTCGTGAAACATCAGCCTGGCGTGACCTCGAGATAACCTAGGAAAATTGAGTGGTTCAAATATTTATTTATTATACAAGGAGAAAAAGTATTAGATTTTAGCTCTCTGGCTGAAATCCATCATTTTCAGATGAAAAAATGTATATGCAGATATAATATCATTCTGAATATTCAATTGAAAACAACTACTTTCCTGGCTATTCGCCACGTCGAACATTGAATTCTATCTGTTGAATATCCAAAAAGAGAGTATGAGAAATGAAAATCCTCTGAAATTGAGAATTGACCTTTTTGTCTCAAATCGGATGTAGAATATACAGGGTGTTTCATTTGAGAAAACAAAGTTGCTGGCATGTCCAGAAAAACCGAAAGTCTGTCATTTTGGATTGGAATGTGATCGAATCCGAAATGATTGCTCATACAGAGCGATTAAGGTTTTGAGGTACGAACTGATATGAGTGTGATGCATCTCATTATCTAAATCAAGAAAGTGTATATTAAAATGAGTCCAATGACTTTTTGAATCTACTTGGTGATTTGGTGTGATTAATACTTTATAGCAAATCATTTCAAACATTTTAGAGGCTTTTCAAATCTACAAGGTGATACTTTTTTGGTGGTATAGGCTTCTTTATCCCGTCAAACTTTTTCATAGTGCGCCTCAGATATTTGCCAGTTATCAAATTAAGTGGGTCGTTCAATTTAGATGCTTCTTTTCTCAATTTTTCTCGAGAAATAAACCGTTTTTGAGATAAATATGCGTTCTGAAACATGTTCAATTTCTCTATATTTTTCTCTAAAATTCCATTCTTGGACAAAATTAGTTGACAATAATGGAATACGCAGAAGGAATAATAATCACATTCCACAAGAAGATTGTTCCCAACAAGTTGAATGCTATTCCATTTTTCAAGTTTTTCAAATGATATTGAAAGAGATATTGAATGAGAAATATGAATACGAATTTACCGCGTCGTCTTTGGATTGGTCGGTTAAAAGCAACCTGATCTTCAACCCTCTGTATCCCCGCTACTGATTCAGATTGGAATTTGCGACCTTTTATTGTATTAAGCCAACTGTAATACGCAAAATCAACATGGTATTGCACGTATACAGTGTGTCCCACTTACCATGCACACCATGGGTATCTTTTTAACGATGAGAGATACGAGGTCGGTTAAATGACACCAAATGTGGAGTTTGTCAAGGCCAACTATAATGTGAAAAAATATTTCGATAAAATCTATTCGTTTTTGTTTTATACGCAAAAGACAGATTTTGATCATTTTCATGTCTCCTCCGTAACTTCTTTATTTATGAAAATATTGAAATAGGAATTTCACATTCTCATGGCAGTTTTTCGAAGTGATTTCGAAAAAAATATGAAATTTAAACCAACTCTTCTAGAATTTGAGATATTAGCACCAACTTAAGTTTTTCAAATGTAGATCATCGCTCACTATGACTTAGTTACAAATAACTTTTTTTTCTCTCTCAGATGATATGTTGCAGTAATAGTTTTGTGTTGATAACAACGGAGTTATCGTCATTTATACAAAAACAAAAAATTATCTGGAAGCCGCCATCTTGAATTTATGAATTTCAACAAGAAAATCGTGATCTCCGACCTCAAAAACCCCCACTCACCAATTTTGAATGAAATCGGACCAACTCTTGTCCGTCATCTTGAAGCAGCCATTTTTTTTTAATTTCAGCAGAAATTCCATAATGTATTGTCACCGAAATTATAAACACCTGCCAAATTTCAAGTTAATCGGAGTTATGGATTTTTTGTTGAAATCAAAAACAAATGGCTGCTCCAAGATGGCGGACAAGATTTAGTACGATTCCATTCAAAATTGGTAAGTGGGGGTTTTTGAGGTCGGAGATCATGATTTTCTTGTTAAAATTTATAAATTCAAGATGGCGGCTTCCAAATAATTGTTTGTTTTTGTATAAATGACGATAACTCCGTTGTTATCAACACAAAACTATTACTGCAACACATCTGAAAGAGGAAAAAAAGTTATTTGTAACTAAGTCATAGTGAGCTATGACCTACATTTAAAAAACTAAGGTTGGTGCTGATATCTCAAATTCTAGAAGAGTTGGTATAAATTTCATATCTTTTTCGAAATCACTTCGAAAAACTGCCATGAGAATGTGAAATTCCTATTTGAATATTTTCATAAATAAAGAAGTTATGGAGGAGACATGAAAATGATCAAAATCTGTTTTTTGCGTATAAAACAAAAACGAATAGATTTTATCAAAATATTTTTTCACATTATAGTTGACCTCGACAAACTTCACATTTGGTGTCATTTAACCGACCTCGTATCTCTCACCGTTAAAAAGATACCCATGGTGAGCATGGTAAGTGGGACACACTGTATGCTTATTCATCTCGAGAACGGTGTGTTTGTCGAAAAAAAATTCAGATGTAGATAAAGTCTTCAAATTGAACAATCCACCCTATTTAGTAACTAGAAGATATAAGATGCGTACTAGGAATGAGTTCGAGGGGAATGAAGAAGACTCTACCCTCAAAAATATATCACCTTATGGATTTCAAAAAAATCTTTGGAATGCTTCATATGATGTTCTGCTAGAAAGCAACATTGACCACACCAAATTTCGAATTGATATCTTCAGAAGTGAGCAACATATTACGATTAATAGAAAGTAGTAGATTGTTTTACTAGGACAAAAACTGACACTTTGTTTGATAAGCGTATTTTGAATTTGGGAAGCGGAGCGTGTAGCGAAGCCGAGCGGAAGAAAAATTTGCGAGTGAAACAAAGTTACTTTTGATCCGAATGAAACATGCTATTTTATCTGCATCTGCAAGAATTAATCGAAATGAATATATGTGAAGTAACCACCAATGCCGTGCCATAGTATGCAATGCAACAAATAATCCACGTGGTGAGAATATTCTACCTGCATTAACAGATCAGGTGTATTCAATTCTCAAGGATGTTCGACTTAAAGTTTCAATGTACTTACAACCACAGGGTGGCCCATTCGTGTATGGACCAGAGGTTCAGTCAGTCAGTCAGTCAGCTCTAATAGCAAATACCGCGCCATTAGCGCCATAGCGATTATCTATTCCTCTCCATACTTCACTGTGTTTGGCTTGGAAATCGAATAAAGGTGAACAATATCATTGTGTGAGACAATAAACTATTGCTGGCCGTCATTATTCAAGAACAAGTTAGCTATCCCGAGAATAACGAATGAGATACAGATCAAGCAAGTACCTATGTGAATCTTGAAGGCTTTCCTGATCGAATCAAAAATACTCAACTATAATATGGTGTATTTATATCTCCAGCATGGGTATGAAATGAATGCCAAATCTGCCGAGATCGGAAACAAATCAGGTATGAGTCCCAACCTAAATAACCAACGTTAACAATGTTGTTTATTCTTGATGACCTCTAGTGGCTCTAGTACATTCTTTTCAGTTCCTAAGAGCTAAAGTTCAACTTCAGCTCCTAGGAACTAAATGTGTTGCCTAGCAACATACCCAATTTTGTGCCAGTAATAGAAACGTCAATTGAAGAGCTAATTATTTTGGTATCAAAATGGACAATTTCGACCCATTTTATTTCCGTTGTTGATCGAGATCGGACACATATTCATATACACACTTCTATGATCAAAATGATGATATAATATCACCGTTTTCAGTTAGTACCTTAAAACCTGAATCACCTTGTATAACTGTACTGAATTTCAGACAAAAATTGTTTACGAATGCAGAAGTTAAACAGAGGTGGTCTGATATCGATACACGGTACAATAAATACTAATAACTTCAAGGCTGAAGAAAAATTTCAATATACGAAACCATCCCATTAGAATGGGTATTTCCAGTAATTTCCAGAAAAATCATATTTGGTTATAAATGACTATCAAGAACCTTATACAAATTTTTTGGGATTTTTATTTTGGCCGGATCTTAGATGAAAAAATTATTGAAAACGGCAAAATGATCTAACGAATTCAAACGAGTATTAAAGGGAGGGAACCGTTTGACGTCAGCGCGCGAACGATTTCGATTGGTTACATGGTCATGTTGTATGGTGTTGTCTCGCTTGCTGAAAAATCAATAAAAAGTTTTCCGATGTTGCCATATTACATAAAATGTACGAACTCTTAGGATAAAACGAGGAAGAAATAATAACATCTAGATGGTGCAGGGTATTTCAGTACCTATCTCACATAGGGAAAACTAGGTAGGTATTTACCTATAATGAGCTCGTAAGAGGTATTTTGGGTCAGGTATATAAACTGTACTTTCAATTGATTAGGGATGATTAGGAGATTGATCATCAGAAGATAATATAATATGTATTGATAGCAACAATTTGAAAACAATAATATAAGTTATATTTAATTGATTCTGAAATATCCAGAACATCATCAGTTACTATTCAATTTGATTAGTGTACAGTGAATATTAGAAATCGTTGGAAAAGGCTCGGCAACAGTGTTGGTGTGACTTTCGTGTTTGTGCTTCGACTGACGAGTCACGTCTGGTTATAGGTTATGTCATAGATTATCGTTAATCTATGGTTATGTTCAAGATAAAGCATGGTTGCCACATGAGTTATTATATTTTTCAGGGAGGAGGTACGTTAATGGTTAAAACACGTTTAAATTTGGTATATCGAGATATTTTGATAAGTATTAGTCATGACATGAGATATATCGAATTAACCGATAACTGAATCAGTTATTAATAGCAACTAAATAATACAAAACACTGATCACAATGGATATTTGTGTACCTAAAATAATTATGAAAATACGCTATAATACCCTCGGTAATATCTAATATTTTCAAGTTCTTGGTAAGTGAACAAGCAATGTTTTGATCAAGATTCAGTTATTTGTATTCCTATTTATATTATATCTAGATATTTTATAAAGACCTGGCAACTGCGTTGTTTCACTCAGCTAATCCCGCCCCTCTGTCGCCATTACCATATTCAACCAATCAAATCACTACGCACCCTGACGTCACAAACTGCCACCACATTTTAAACGTTCGAATATTCGTGTTTGAATCACGCGATTTCGACACTGATTTATAAGGCAATCGTTTGGAATAATAAAATAAAAAAATATCTGGACGATGATTTGGATGGTCCTTCATAACATTATGACAAAAAAACTGCAAATTTGTTGAAACTGGAAATGCCCATTGTGGAATATGAGAATATCAGAAAGAAATTATGCTAGAAGTGACTGAAGTGAGGTCGATATAATCTCTGATGCTCACCTCACTAAACTCTCCAATAAACGCACCGTAGTTCTGGCTTTGTTTCTACTGTCGATCCCTCTCTGCATTTGATAATACGCGCCAAGAATGGTTTCTGCGTCTTCTGTCAGTTTGGGGTCTAGTTTCTTGATCGTAACAAAATACGACTAAAATAAAAGAAATTCATGAATGAAGAGTCTATACAGGGTGTTGCGAAATTCGACCGACAACGCTTGACAGGTGCCCTAACAACACGGGATCTTGCTGGTACATCCCGCTAAGGTCCTAGAAATGTCCCAATGTTTCAGATTTAGGTACGATATCCCAGAGATGTTTCTCTTGGGACATCCATCAGATGTTTTCATTGGATGTTCTAGAAACATCCCATTTGATCTTTTTTTATAAACAATATCATGGTTCCATATTCGCTAATGATGATTGACATGATTGAATAGTTCAAACAATTGTGACATTTGAAATATTGAAGAGTTGGTAAAAAATGGAAATCAAAACTGTATTCGTACTCATATACTTATACCTATACCCAAGCCGGCTAATTTCATCGATAACAAATTGAAATAATTATACTAAATATTCCTCAATAGGATTACCAAAGTACCTGTTCAACTTCATGAACCATGTAATAAACGACAAAATCAAAATATATCTCTTCAGCATATTTATTGCTGTATTTATTCGTTATACCAGCCGATAGATGGCGGTACAACTACGTTGCTAAGAGTTACTAACAGCCGTCGGCCCAGCGCCAACAAATATGAGCCTCAAACAAAACAAATGTTATCATCTTCCATATTAGTTATTGGACCGCACCGACCTTATATTTTCGGATTCGGATTGTTACTAAACTTGATATCTGGAAATAGGTCGTCCATTTTCAGTATTTCAGATTGAAAATAATTCATACCGTGTCATCCATTACTGTCATCAAACAGAAAACATCCTAAAAGTCTCTTTAAGATGTTCCATATCAAGTACCCTGAATGTCTCTGGTACATCCCGTATCATCCCACAAACATTCTGATGGAATGTTTATAAGACATCGCAAATGCCGACAAGGGTGTTGCCAGCAACATCCCAAGAATGTCCCAAGGAAAATAGGGATTTTCCAGAGATGTTCCTATCATCCCATATGGATGTTTCTACGACGTCTTACAGATGTTATTGTGTTATTAGGGTGATAGCCCTCGTGATTTCATAATCACTGAGATAGGGACATACAGGCTTCAAGTGTTCAGTTCTCGAAAGACGGGGCGTTGAAGTTGAAAAATTCAAATACGTTTTTCGTAATCTCACAAGAAAAATTGAATATGATGCATCTTAAATTCGGTATATGGTATCATCTTTCGACCGAGAGCTGTCTTTCCAAAACCATGTAGACAATATAAGTACGTCAGCAAGCCGTATGTACGGATTTCTAATTAGAGTAGGCAACGACTTTAATCATGTCACACTCAAAACTCTTTACTATGCTTTTGTCAGATCGAAGCTAGAATATGCGTCAGTTATCTGGAACCCATATTATCAAGTGCATGTCTATAGGTATACTGGAGGCAATCCAAAGACGCTATCTCAAATACTTAAGTTTTAAAGCAGATCGGACAATTGGCACGTCACACGAGAGTTTACTGTCAAGACATAGCTTTTTCAGCCTGGATCAAAGACGGAAATGTTCTGGTGTCATTACGCTACATAAAATAATTGACAATAAAATTAGATGTCAATGCTTACTACATCAGATAAACTTCAAAATTCCCCGTCAGGCATCTCGATGTACCGACTCATTCTACATTACCACGCCACGAACAAATATATACAAAAACTCTCCTGTTCATACTAAACTGGGCGTCAATTGAAACGTTAATAGTGAAATTCGGCATCAAGTTTGACTTCTCGTAATTTCTAAAATATTGAACGAATTTTTAATTGCCGCCCAGATTTTGAATGCCTTTTTCATCGTCTTTCGAACCGTTCCTTACAGCTTCTTCTAAATTGATCAGGACCCGTGATACAGAGTGAAACAAAGTTTCGTGCATTTTGAAAAAAAATTCCCCGCCCCCCATTTTGTCGGAAGACCACGATGATCATATTTCATTCGGGCATTTCATAAATAGCAACCATACCTCGGGACGTTTTCGGGTTTTTGCCAAAAACTACTGTGGTTTCCGAAAAAAAAAAATGTTTTTGTATTATTTTTAAATGGACTAATTTAAGAGGAGTTCCATAAATGGATGCTTTTATGCGTTTCAGGAAAGCGTTGGAGCAGATATGTATACCAGGTTACTCAAAAACAATCAATAATTTATTACTTCGCAGTCTATGATAAAAGTTTTCTACCTTAGTGAGCAGTAAATCAACACATCTCATCAACAAAAACAAACAACGATACCTTGTTTCTATAACAACGTATTGTTGAAACAATGTAGGTATGCATAGAGGTTATATTAATTGCCAATTTTCATGAAAACGTCAGTGTAATTCGGGTCCTAAAAAATTTAAAGATGCCTCGTTCAAATCGGGTCGAAATGGAAAATATCATTAGGTAAGATCACTATAGTGATATAAAATATAATTCAGTAGGTACAGATAATTATTATTTCAGGTTACGACGATTAGGATATACCTAAACTCATTTAAGTACCATTTCCAATAGGTCAGTCATGACAATAAATAGACTGACATCGATTTGAGGATACAGGTAATGTACTCCTCTAAAATTAGTCCATTTAAAAAAAATGCAATAACAAATTTTTTTTTCGGAAACCACAGCAGTTTTTGGCAAAAACTCGAAAACGTCCCGAGGTATGGTGGCTATTTATGAAATGCCTGAATAAAACATGAGCATCGTGGTCTTCCGACAAAATGGGGGGGGGCGGAGAAATTTGTTTCAAAATGCACGAAACTTTGTTTCACCCTGTATCATGGGTCCTGATCAATTCAGAAGAAGCTGTAAGGAACGGTTCGAAAGACGATGAAAAAGGCATTTAGAATCTGGGCGGCAATTTAAAATTCGTTCAATATTTTAGAAATTACGAGAAGTCAAACTTGATGCCAAATTTCACTATCAACGTTTCAATTGACGCCCAGTTTTTGTGTAGCAACTATAACTTAATAAGCAACCAGCTTGATATATTTCATTGTATTGTGAGGCAAATCAAAAACTATCATTAACAACAGTAATATTCTTGTATTAATCTCTTACTTTTTACTAATGTAGTCCTATTGTGTGAATTGTGTAGTATGCCAAGTTTTTTCTATTGTTTCTTTCTATTGTTTGTTCTCTATTGTTTACTTTTGTGCAAATTTTTACTTAGTTCCTGTTCTGTAATTGGAAATCTTTTTTTGTAGAAATCTTTAAATGGTAAGACTTTCGACCAGAAAGACATTCCGAGAATTTTATCCAGAGATGCACTACAGAAGGTTTTGTGATAACTTTTCCTCCCATATCTTTTACGCCACTGGTGAAATTCCGATCATTTCCAATTTCTCGAATTGATTGTTTGCATAGTAATTTTTCAACTTCCTCAGTAGTAGAAAATTACGAGAATTTTTGTTGTCTCTTCATGCGTGGAATAACTATTTCTGTTCAACTACAAAGTTTCGAGTCACAGATGTAATGTGTGGCATGAATGTGATATGCCCTCTTGTATCTCTAGGATCTATCTGTGTTAACTGGTTTGTTCTGCCTAGGCAGTAAAAGTACACCTTTTCTGCCTGTTGAGTGTCATTGAATATCCACTTTTAATGTCATTTGAAGAAATAGTAGATTGTTTTATTAGGATCAAAAGTGACACTCTGTTTGACAAGCGAATTTTGCATTTGCGAGGCGGAGCGTTTAGCGAAGCCGAGCGAAAGCAAAATTTGCGAGTCGAGCAAAGTCACTTTTGATCCGAATGAAACATGCTATTTTTTCTGCAACCGAAACAATTAACTCAAATGAACATGTGAAGTAACCACCAATGCCGTGCCATGCAACAAATATTGACAAATAATCCATGTGGTGAGAATATTCTACCTGCATTAACAGCAGGTTAGGTTTTCAAGGATGTTCGAATTGTAGTTTCAATATAAATACAACCACAAAGTGACATATTTGTGTATGGACCAGGAGGTGCTCTAATGGCAAATACCGCGCCAGTGCCAGCTATATTAACAAGACGTGGAAAATGTTAGGTTAGTGAGCATATCAGCAATGATTTATTTATTTATTATTTATTTATTCTCATATGAATACATTTACAAAGACATACATATTCTAATATTATAAAAATTCTAAATTTTATCTACTTCACATAGGTTATTGACCTGTGTGTGAATTAGATAATTATTATAAACTTTTTGTAAAAAATTTTCAAGTTCTAAAAAAATTATTTGAAGAGATTATCAATTTCTTTTGCATTATCCAAAAACCAAATTTTAATTTTTTTTTGAATGTTACAATATTCAAACGTCTCAATTTTGTTGGAACTCTGTTAAAAATTTTTGACCCAATAAAACTACTATGGTTTTGCATGATTTTGAGATTATGTTTTTCAAGTTGAACATTATCATTTCTTGTACAATAATTGTGACTAATTTTATTACTAAATGCAGTGTTTTTTTTCAAGAAATTCAATGATGCTTTATAAAATAATTGTTTGACATTCAGTATATGATTATCTACAAATAATGAGGATGATGGATAATCCAAAGGTTTGCGAAAAATTATTTTCAAAACATATTTTTGAATACTTAATAATGGTTTGAGATGAGTCTCATACATACCACCCCATCCAATGATTCCATATGACAGAATAGATTGAAAAAGTACATGATATAACATTATGATTAAATTTCTATTAACAATATTTCGTAATATATAATATAGTGATTATTTATTCCTCTCCATACTACACTGTGTTCGACTTGATAATCAAATGAAGCTAAACAATATCGTTGTTTGAGACAGTTATCCATCCCGAGAATAACGAATGAAATACAGATCAAGCAAGTATTTGAATCTTGAAGGCTTCCCTGATCAAAACAAAAATACTTTACTGAAATGTTTATAATTCCAATACTAAACTATAATAAGGTGTATTTTATATCTCCAGCATGGGTATGAAATGCCAAATCTGCTGAGATCGGAACAAATCAGGTATGCGTCTCAACCCAAATAACCAACCGTCACAATGTTGTTTATTCTTGATGACGTCCAGTAGATCCTTTTTAGTTCCTAGGAGCTAAAGTTCAACTTTAGCTCCTAGGAACTAAAATTCAACTTAAGCTCCTAGGAACTAAATATGTTGCCTAGCAACATACCTATTTTTGTGTCAAGAATAGAAATTTCAATTTAAGAGCTAATTTTGGTATCAAAATGGACGACTTTTGTGTCGGTTGCAGAAAAAAATACTTATGATAATGAATGACTTACTTGTAAGACATCCACAGTCCACAGACCGCTGTCGGTCAACTTGGAGAATTCGTGTCCGCCGTTGAGAATGTAGTCGGCTACCCTTTCGTCCCATTCGTCGTCGACCACGTCTCTGAGCATCAGGATCAGATCGAAGCGGCTCAGCAACGGGCTGGGCAACGCGACGTTCATGGCTACCGATTGCGATGGGTCGATGTTACCTGTGATCATGCACAAAATAATGATATGATCATGTATCATAGCTGACCAAGCAAACGTTGTTTTGCCATCATTATTATTTTAAATAAATTGAAAATAAAAAAAAAAACTTTTTATTTAATAAAAAGCTTTTATTTGAACGCTCTGAGAAAAAGAAAATAAAATTTTTCTTAATAATTTTAACTATCAACTTATAACCTCATTATACACAATTTATATGATCATAAAAGTTTGTCGCGCGATTCACTTGTGTAAATGAACTAGTACTTATTCAATTATGTAAAATCTGCTGGAATAAAATTTTTAAAATTACAATTTAATTAAATATTGATCATCGCGACAAGCTTTTATGATCATATAAATTGTGTATAATGAGTTTATAAGTTGATAGTGAAAATTATTAAGAAAAATTTTATTTTCTTCTTTTTAGAGCGTTTAAATAAAAGCTTCTTATTAAAAAGTTTTTCTTTACTTTTAATTAATTTTTTAATTCTTAGTTATCGCTATCTGGAGTTCTCGATTTACTCTCAACGAGCCTTTTCACGGTTTCACGGTTTTCTGTCTCACAACACAACCTGGAGCTAAAATCTACTACTTTTTTCCCTTGTATAATAAATAACTATTATTATTCAAGGGAAAAGAGTAGTAGATTTTAGCTCCAGGTTGTGTTGTCACCAAAAACCGTGAGCTAAAATCTGATATTTTTCCCGTGTATAATTCACTCTTTTTTTCTGTGACAGAAGAAAGAACGAATCAATATTTGGAAGATATTACATTATTTTGAAATCTGAAAATTATCGACGTGAAATTTCAAGTTCTTAACAACAGGGACACCTGCGTTGTAGGCATATTTATCATTCTTTTGAAGTAATCAAATATCTGATGTCACTTCTGTCAGTCTAATTCTGTGATTTGATTTCAAAAAATTGCGAATTTAGTGGTTGTTTAGTAATATACGTAACCGCGAAGTCGAATGGAAGATAAAAGGACTTGCAGTTCTTTCTCGGAGACGGTATTATTGACTCATTTTTCGGAACTATAGCACAATAAAAGCCACCAACATTGTATACAGTGTGTCCCACTTACCATGCTCACCATGGGTATCTTTTTAACGGTGAGAGATACGAGGTCGGTTAAATAACACCAAATGTGGAGTTTGTCAAGGCCAACTATAACGTGGAAAAATATTCTGATGAAATCTATTCGTCTTTGTTTTATACACAAAAAACAGATTTTGATCATATTCATGTCTCCTCAGTAACTTCTTCATTTATGAAAATATTCGAATTGGAATTTCACATTCTCATGGCAGTATTTCAAAGTGATTTCGAAAAAAATATGAAATTTATACAAACTCTTCTAGAATTTGAGATATCAGCACCAACTTTAGTTTTTCAAATGTAGGTCATAGATCACTTTGACTTAGTTACAAATAACTTTTTTTTCTCTTTCAGATGATATGTCGCAGTAATAGTTTTGTGTTGATAACAACGGAGTTATCGCCATTTATACAAAAATGATATAAATGATGATAACTCCGTTGTTATCAACACAAAACTATTACTGCGACATATCATCTGAAAGAGAAAAAGAAGTTATTTGTAACTAAGTCATATTGACCTATGACCTACATTTGAAAAATTAAAGTTGGTGCTGATATCTCAAATTCAGGAAGAGTTGGTATAAATTTCATATTTTTTTCGAAATCACTCAAAAAAACTGCCGTGAGAATGTAAAATTCTTATTTGAAAATTTTCATAAATAAAGATGTTACGGAGGAGAAATGAAAATGATCAAAATCTGTTTTTTGCGTATAAAACAAAAACGAATAGATGTTATCAAAATATTTTTTCACATTTGAGTTGGCCTTGACAAACTCCACATTTGGTGTCATTTAACCGACCTCGTATCTCTCACCGTTAAAAAGATACCCATGGTGAGCATGGTAAGTGGGACACACTGTATATATGTGATATATATCCGGAAAAGAAGTATATACTCACTCTTTTCTCACGGGAAAAAAGTAATTTATGAAAAGTGACATTTTATAACCTGCCAACAGAGATGAGATGCCAAACTTTTTTCCCGTCACAGAAAATAAAAATTAAAACTATTCCAAAAAGGAAGACAGGATAAAACACAGTTCACAGCAGTTTTTCTTGCTTTATTAAAATCACTGTTTTACAACAGTTAAATATTCAGAAATGTCTAATTTCTTGGATGATTGCTCGATTGAGAACCAAGTTGAAATATGAAAATCTCACATATAGTTTACATATAAAATGCGCGAAGTATGTACTTCGAGCATCATTTTACTTCGCACACTGCTTCGCACATGTGTATAGGAAACTGGAAAAAAGTGCTTCGCAATTTGTTTTTGACGTTTGTAGAAGAAACAAATTCCACATTCTCATTGTTACTTTTTTTGTTCTATAAGATGGTGTTTTCAGATTTTGAGACGTTCCGTCGTTGAGCTCCCATCATCAACTTTGTTTTATTAAATAAGGCCCTGAATTTTTTATCATGGATTTCTAGAGCTTTCAGTCTCCTGAAATGGGCTTATATCACAAAAAATGTTCATTTCATAATTCGATAGAACTCACCCAAACTAGCTCACCACCGCAAACCGTGTCTTGCTGTGAGCTCCCTACGTTTTATAAAAAAATTATTGAAATCCCCGATTTTTTGGACCTCTGAAAACGAGGCGATGATGTGACGTCCAAACTCTAATACTGAAACATGACTATTCCAGACAGAGATGAATGTTGCATAAATTCTGACAGAGTGAATTAGCGCGATATCACAGTTGAACGAATTAATATATCAGTTGCCACAGTCTCCGTCGGGCGTTTGGTATTTTCTTTCAACTATGGCGAGATGATGTTTCTACGTCATAAGAGGGTCCGTTTTCAGAAGGTACTATTATTTATGTCCAAAACTAAAACATTCCAGTTAATTTTTCGATCGAATTATGTCGTCAATCATTATTTATGTATCATCGTTCGTGAATAAAAATAATCCTCATTCAAAATGATGGAATGATATTCGTCCCAATATTAATCTCATTTCCGAAAATAACTTCGAAATTTTGGAAAAATTGTTACCTTTTGGGTTGCAAGCTGCTAAAATCGAACAACGCGTGTTCAGTTTGGCGACAATGCCGGCCTGAAAAGAAAAATGCATGATAAATATCGTTTTTGGATATACATGAGAAAACCAAGATAAAAACTTCAAATAGAACGATGTAGATCTCTTCTTTGTCGAAGTCGATTATTTTTTCTGATACCAACGACGTATTATACAGGGTGTTTCATTCTTATGTAGCAGGACTTCAACAGCTTGAAGAACACATTTTTTCAAGATGCAAATCTCATACAAACATATATGCGTGGAAGCTTCGTTTCCGATTTACAGGGTGTCAAAGTTTCAGATCATTATCATGTTTTTTGAATTTTCTCCTTCAATTTTCGGAATAATTGATTGAAATTCAGTACACCTAATACACTTCAAAAACTTAATATTTGAGGCTATTGAGCGTTTTTGAATACCTACAGGGTGATAGACTTTCAGGTGTCGTACCCAATTCAACCCTGTAGAACTTTTTTGCGTGCCGTCTCTGCTTTCAATGGGACATAGATTCAGATTGTCCTTTCAATTTGGAAACTTTTTGCCTCTATGTAAATTTTTCGAAAACTGTATGGATCTCGTGATAAATGCCAAAAATTAATTACCTACTTGTAATAAAACCGTTATTTCTCAAACACACTTATTTGAAATTTCTCAAACATTTCATTGGAAATTAGAATGACCGAAAGCTTCCATACCAAATGAAATTCAGTTGCAAATTAGATTGAATTTTTTGAACACCATTATAATTAAAACTAGGACAAACAAAGAAAAAATGTTTTTATTTCAAAAAAACTCCTCTAACTGGATTGCAAAATCTGAAATTGTATTGTAAAAAATTCTAGGACACCCTGTATAACTGAAACTGGTTAAACTTTCGATATCAGGGACTGTATGACACGGTCTAGGCGCTATACATCGCTAGACTGTCGCTTCTGACGGTTGAGGTGTTGTGAGTTTTAATAATTTAATCTCGTGAACGGCAATTCTAATTTTATCAGTACCCTTCTCGGTACCCTCAGAAGTGGTTCGGACTCCACTTTTATTTATCTCGGAATCCATACAGTTTTCGAAAAACATATATGGGGGCAAAAAGTTTCCAAATTGCAGAGACAATCTGAATCTATGTCCCATTGAAAGCAGAGGCGGCACGCAAAAAAGTTCTACAGGGTTAAATTGGTTACGACCCTTGGAAGTATATCACCCTGTAGGTATTCAAAAACGCTCAATAGCCTCAAATATTGAGTTTTTGAAGTGTAGTAGGTGTACCAAATTTCAATCAATTATTCCGAAAATTGTAGGAGAAAAATCAAAAAACATTAAAAAAAAATCTGAAACTTTGACACCCTGTAAATTGGAAACGAAGCTCCCACGCATATATGTTTGTTTGAGATTTTCATCTTGAAAAAATGTCTTCTTCAAGCTGTTGAAGTCCTGCTACAAAAAACTTAAACACCCTGTATATTGGTGATAAATAATTTTTTCGTTGGCAAACTGTGAAAAAATTATTGGGGTGTGCTTTCTCGATTTGTAGGGATAGTTCAAGTAATCAATCATGTATTGCAATGACAGGAAAAAGTGAAAAATTTTCCATTTGTTTCGATAAATTCATGAAGTGTCAAGGACCGAAAACGAGAAAAATAATATCAAGAATAATTTTGCATCTTAGTATTGATAAAAGGAGCAGATTCGTTTCATAAGCATCCAAAGATAAGTGAAATTTTAGAATTCTTTAAATCCATCTATATTCATTTATTCTCCATCCATTTAACAAACAAGATGTCACCCATTATTCCAGATTGTTTTGGAAAATGAAAATATGAATACTATTTCAATATACGCGTAGTTAGGACGAATCAGATGATTTGCCCCAAAATGTCACTGCGTTTAAAGAATTTTCCTATCAGAGAGCCTAACAAAAAAATTCACTAGCTTGTCAGTGACAATTTGTATTGAAAAAGGTTTGGAGAAGAGAAATAAAAGTATATAGAAAAAATATCAAAGTTTTACTTATCTTTGGACGTTTCGAGAACGAATCTGCTACCGTTTTCAACATGAAAAATGGATTTTTTGTATTGCAAATTCGTATTTGTCCTGACACTTTTCAGTTCTCAGTGACAATTGCATGGTGACGTTGGCAATCAAATGAGTTATAGGAAATTTTCATTAATTAATCTCGAATTTAACATTTTCATCTTCAGATTTCAGTAGTGAATACCATGTTCTATCTATATCAACTGAACAGGAAACAATGCTTTTGTCTCCGTTCAGAAGAATGCAAGCAGATTCCTTGATTTTTCTCTTCTGGTTGTTATCTAGGTACTGAAATCTGGAAATGACAATGGAAAATTCAAGATTATATAATTAATGAAAACATCTTGTAACTCATTCGATTGCCAACGTCACCAATTGTCACTGAGAACTGAAAAGTGTCAGGTTAAATACGAACTTCCAATACAAAAAATCCATTTTTTATGTTGGAAATGGGAGCAGATTCGTTCTCGAAACGTCTGAAAATAGGTGAAAATTTGATATTTTTTTTATACAGTGTGTTCCACTTACCATGCTCACCATGGGTATCTTTTTAACGGTGAGAGATACGAGGTCGGTTGAATGACACCAAATGTGGATAGTTTGTCAAGGCCAACTATAATGTGAATAAATATTTTGATGGAATCTATTCGTTTTTGTTTTATACGCAAAAAACAGATTTTGATCATCTTCATGTCTCCTCCGTAACTTCTCCATTTATGAAAATATTCAAATAGGAATTTCACATTCTCATGGCAGTTTTTCAAAGTGATTTCGAAAAAAATATGAAATGTATACCAATTCTTCTAGAATTTGAGATATCAGCACCAACTTTAGTTTTTCAAATGTAGGTCATAGCTTACTATGAATTAGTTACAAATAACTTTTTTTCTCTTACAGATGATTTGTCGAAGTGATAGTTTTGTGTTGATAACAACGGAGTTATCGTCATTTATACAAAAAACAAAAAATTATTTCAAAGCCGCCATCTTGAATTTACAAATTTTAACAAAAAAATCATGATCTCCGACCTCAAAACTCCCACTTACCAATTTTGAATGGAATCGGACCAAATCTTGTCCGCCATCTTGGAGCAGCCATTTTTTTCAATTTCAACAGAAATTCCATAATGTATTGTCACCGAAATTATGAACACCTGCCAAATTTCTAGTTAATCGGAGTTATGAAATTTTTGTTGAAATAAAAAAAATGGCTGCTCCAAGATGGCGGACAAGATTTGGTCCGATTCCATTCACAATTGGTAAGTGGGGGTTTTGAGGTCGGAGATCATGATTTTTTCGTTAAAATTTATAAGTTCAAGATGGCGGCTTCCAAATATTTTTTGTTTATGTATAAATGACGATAACTCCGTTGTTATCAACACAAAACTATTACTGCGACATATCATCTATAAGAGAAAAAAAAGTTATTTGAAACTAAGTCATAGAGTGAGCTATGACCTACATTTGAAAAACTGAAGTTTGTGCAGATATCTCGAATTCTAGAAGAGTTGGTGTAAATTTCATATTTCTTTCGAAATCACTTTGAAAAACTGCCATGAGAATGTAAAATTCCTATTTGAATATTTCCATAAATAAAGAAGTAACGGAGGAGACATGAGAATGATCGAAATCTGTTTTTTGCGTATAAAACAAAAACGAATAGATTTTATGAAAATATTTGTCCACATTATAGTTGGCCTTCACAAACTCCACATTTGGTGTCATTTAACCGACCTCGTATCTCACACCGTTAAAAAGATACCCATGGTGAGCATGGTGGGTGGGACACACTGTATACATTCATTTCTCTTCTCCAAACCTTTTCAATACAAATTGTCACTGACAAGCTAGTGAATTTTTCTTTCAGGCTCTCTGATAGGAAAATTCTTTAAACGCAGTGACATTTCGGGGTAAAATCATCTGATCTCGAGATATAACTGATTTTTTTTCTGACACTGACCTTGGCAACACTGATGGTTTGTTGTTCCATGGCCTCGTGAATGGTGGTTCGGTCGTGCTCCTTCATCGAATTGAATTCGTCAATACAGCAAATTCCACCATCGGCCATCACCAAAGCGCCACCTTCCAGGTGCCATTCGCCTTGTTCCTGAAGAAATAAATCTACAGACTTACGGAAGTATAGTTACCCAGCAAACAATTTTGGTCGGCCTCATGGTGGCCCATAATATGGTAATGATATTCCCCATAACCCTTTCGGTCTCTGCCTCGTCAATTGTAAACATCCAATGTCAACATTCAGTACAGCAAATGAATGTTTGTCAATATCATTTTCTCTAGAAAGGCGGAACTCAGTATGCCCGATATTGTAATGTCTGGCTCCACCATTCCCACCAAGCCCACCATATCTATGCTCGGTATTTCCATCAGCAACACTCTTTCATGGGATAATCATGTCAGATCCATCGCAAAAGCTGCTTCACAAAAACTCGGATTCTTGTTCCGTGCGAAAAGCTACTTTACACCTCAACAGATTCTCATGATCTACATAGCACAGATACGGCCTGTTCTAGAATACTGTTCCCACATATGGGGTTCAGCACCAAAACATACGCTGATGCTCTTAGATTCCATCCAGAGAAGAGCCATTCGCCTGGTGGGTGACGCCACACTCACTCACTCTTTGACATCATTGGAACACCGTAGAAAGGTCGGCGACCTTTCACTTTTCTATCGATACTTCCACGGGAAATGTTCTTCGGAAATCTCTGCTATCATCCCTTCACTAGCAATACCAATCAGACGAACTACACAAGCCCAGTCAACACATCCTTTCGTTGTCAACCTCGAAAGATGTCGAACAGCACTTTATCAAGACTCCTTCATCCATAGAACGGCTAGGCTCTGGAATTCATTGCCGGTGGAAGTATTCCCAACAACATATAATCTCCAAGAGTTCAAAAAAAATTACAATACCTACCTCCTGTCCCTATCCTCCCTAGGAACGCACGATGTTCTTTGAACATTATAGGGATACCCTTTCGTGCGCTCCAAGCGATAAAAAAAATAAAAAAAAAAGTCGTCGTTTGAATACACTATTCAACGAATACGACTACGCTATTACCATCTAGTGCCGTGATCGTGAAGTTGGACATAATTCACAGGTTTCTGATGATTTACTCAAGATTCTGTTTTGTGTTTATTTGATGTTGGTTCTACTTTCACCACGATTTGTTTTTGTCATCTGATAGTGTCGGATCGTGTTGACAAAAGTATCTAGTTTTGTGGGGAATAAACCAAATTGTTTGTTGTGACTCCATACGTGACAGATATTTTTCCAAATTTGGGTGTAGTCATTTAACGACAGTTTGACTAAGAGGATATGGGTTGCGTGCAAGAACTGTCAAATGACCGACGCTGGAGGCACAACATTGAAACACAACCTCACTTCTCTTATTTGGTTACAAGTGATCGAAATAGATTTCCACAATTATTTTGGCATACGATTTGTATTTTTGAAACACAACCTCACTTTTCTTTTTTGGTTAGAAGTGATCGAAATAGATTTCCACAATTATTTTGGCATACGATTTGTATTTTTCTACTATTCATCAATTCGCTCATGCCATCACATTGTGCTGTTGTAAAATGAACAAAAACTGCAGCGGCAGATGAAGGAATCCGGATGGTACATTCTGATTTAAAAGTAAGTACCTACTATAATCACTCACATATAGTTTTCATTTTGGAAATTCGATTATTTCTTTGATTTCTCATCGGAATTCCTTCTGCAATAGGAGCTAAAGAAATACACCTGAAATTTCTAAAATAATGCAAGAAGATTGTATGCATGCAATCAATCGGGATGAGGACTGGTCTGACATGCTGACGATCGTGTGTGTCGTAGACATTTTCAATCTATTAGCAGTATTAGCTTGTATTGCAGAAGTGGCAGAAGGCAGAATGAATTTTAATAAGGAATGACAACATTTCATAATGATAACTATGTGAGATTACTATTTACCTGAAAAATCATATTCCGTAGTCTCTTGCTGCCTTTTTTGTGCATTGTACAACAGCAACAATGCGAAGGCATGCTTGAATTAATGAATAGCGCTAGAAACACGATTCGTATGCCAAAATATTGTGAAAAACTATTTCAATCCTTTAATTCCTCTGTAAACAAATAAAAAAGTGAAGATGTGTTTCATCAATTCACAGAAGAGTGAGGTTGTGTTTCAATATTTTGCCTCCAGGGTCTGTCATCGTGCACGCGACCTATAGACAAACAAGTTAACATAACCTGAAATAATTCGAAATGATGAATAAATTCATAAATAAGTTTGCAGTAAATTATAAAAAATTAGCCTTGAGAGGTCCATGACATATGAGGAGCTAGTGCAGCTTGCTGAATAACTTTTTGACATCGAAGACCTGACTAGTGACGAAGAGGGTGGCGAAATAAATGATGATTTGGAGCCCGAGCCAGTATTTGATGATGACATCTCGTGATCAAACACCAATAACTACACCTTCAAGAGCTGGTCAGGCGTACGTCCAATAGTAGGAGTGCGGTATGATGAAAGAAACCATTGGCCAATTCATGAAGATAAGAAGTCTGCATCGTGGTGCAAAAATCCAGGGTGCAAAAAACAATCATGAACTTCATGTAACAAATGTAAAGTTCATTCATGGTTGAACAAGAAATCTAATTGTTTCCAGAGTTACCACAATCCCTAAGTCTATAAAAATTTGAGTTGAATATTCACTTCTTCATTTCCATTCAGTCATGTTGTCGTCATTTGACGACGTATCGCCAACCCCTTTAGGGCGGTAGATAACCCGTTGAATAATATATCAAAAAATTGCAAAAAAATATACCTTTCCACTACTGAAATTTCAGATTTTTCACTCCTCTCAATTAAAATAGTGCCCGAAAGGGTTAAGCCCTGGTTTCTCTGACCAGATCGGCCCGAAATATTTCGGTGAAATAGCACAGATTATTTCATTCACATCCCGCTGGACCTATGAAAAGTCATGATTTAAGTCACATGATATGCAATATCAGCGGCTATTTAGGTGAACAAATAATATGAGCGGCTATTCTGCTCGCCAGCATAAGAGTGCTATGGTTGTCAAACTTTGACATACCTATCAGTCACGGAAAAATTGAAATGTCTCGTTTTGGGTCAACTTCCACTACGGTAATCCGTAATTATGTAAGCGAATCGATGTCAGAAAATAACAAGGAGAGTAAAGAGTATGTCTGGAACAATTCATGTTTTTTTGCCAACAGAAAAACCATGAATTTTGTGCCACTACCCCATCTCTCGTAATTGCCCAAATCCTAAAAGATTGGGTGAGGAGAATGGTGAGGAATATAAGGAATACACAGTTGAAATTGATATGGAAAGCTATATATAGGAAGGTTACTTCAATGAACATAAACGTAAGACAAATTCGTTTGAATATATCGAATTCAAAAGTGCCAGGGTTGCGCATAATGCAAAAAGGCGAAGCCTACAATATTTTCCTTAAACAAGAAAGAAAAGTACAAAAGCTCTAATCAAAGAATATTAATGCTATCAATAGCGTTAATATTCTTTCTTTGCTCTAACTTTAGATGAATTGATTACAATTGTACGTAGATATGATGAGAATACCCCAGACGGCCTTCAAGAATTTTTATTCAAATGGTGTCTGCAGAATTGTAACTTGAATAAAATGTTGAAACTCATCCAAACCAGTAGTTTTGCACCGTTCATGAAATAATCTTCCTGAATATCACTCGTCCATGACAAATGGAGACTATTATTTTCGTTAATTCATCTCGAGTAACTTGTATTTTGGGACAATTCAATTCGACCATATGAACATAAATATTCATAGAAAAACCCCATCGAGCTAAAGCTCTCGGGAGTTATTCAGATTATTAATGTTCATATGGTCTCATCAAATTGTCAAAATACAAGGTACACTCGATAGAATTATGACGAAAATAATATTCTGCTATTTGTCATGGTCTCGGGATATTACCTGCGAAAGTTCGTTAGCGTTTCCGGTGAAACCAAGCGTATTTGTAGTACGTAGTGGCGGTTTGTATAAAAGATCGGACCGAAATTTCGGAAAAGTGAACGGAATCAACCAGTGTTTGATTTGATCGATTTCAAAACGGCACAGTTGGCCGAAATAGTGTAGTGTGTTTGTTTTCAGACCTAGACAAACAAACAACGCATTTTTTATAATTATTATAAAATAAAACTAGACCCAGAGCTGATGAACGTTAGAATATGTCGTCTGGAAAAAAATACAACAAATTATAGTTTTCCTCGCTAGAGGATGAAATATTAAGAGAAAAAGTGAAAGAAAATCTTCCTTTATATGCAAAAAAACTGAAAAGTTACTATGATATGAAAATGAACGACAACATTTGGACAAAAATTGCAAGGGAAATTGGAAAATGCGGATATAACAGAACAGATATGTTTGTGAGAGCTAAAATAAAAATACTAAGATTACTTTACGTATATCATTTATTCATAGTTAAATTATATCTACACACATTATCAGCGTCTAAAATCATAGCATTAGAAAAATCCATTTTTTATTTTGACTGTGCCGCAAACACCCTACGAGAAGACTGAAATAAATCGGAACGAAAATTTACGAAAATTTTCTTCAGACAAACCACACATAGACGAAGTTTCTGAACGAAATGAATCCGTCGAATATCCACACGTTCTGTACGCTGATATTCGCCGAAATATTTCGGGCCGATCTGGTCAGAGAAACCATCAGGCCTTTAGAGGGGCTCTAGAAACATCATCAGGAAGGCGGGAGTACAACGATCATCCTGTAACATGCATCCCAGATTGTTCTCCAACCTCCCAATGATTACTGTTACAGTATACATACGTCATGTCATGGAATACATAAAACATTGAACATAAACAGATCTATACTTAAGCCTAATTTACAGTATCGTAACATATACAGTGTGTCCATTTAGTGCGTAATTCTTCGAACTCTCGAAAGCCATAACATATAAAGAAAAACTTTGAAGGACAAACTTTTTCAGTTACTGAAGTTGCTCATTTCAAAAATATTTTCAACATAACTGGATGTTTTATAAATCGAATTTGGTTGCGG